AGTGGTGGCAGTTAACGGGGGCAAATAAAGAAAAATTAAAACGTCACTGCTGTGTTTAAGCATTTCCCTTATTTCGAATTCATTTCATCCATTTCCCTCTGTTGCAGGAATTCCGATCTTTTTTGGTGGACGAGGTCGTTTTTTAAAAACCTCCAAAGAAACCCATAACGGAAGCCGGAGGCTCCCAGCGACAAAGCCAGCACGGTGGACACCCAGTCTGCGCTGCGGCATCCAAGGCGCACCGAGCTCCCACTGCGAGAGGAGGGCGCAGCTGGTGTGGGAACGCCGGTGAGGGATGAGAGGGGCGGGGCGGAAATCTCCTAGGAAGAGCCAATGAATCAGAAACCTAACTTGAGAGAGAGGTACCTCGGAAATAAGAGCATCCTGCACAAAGCACGACCCCACCTCTTCTGGGTGGTTGAAGTCGCTCCTTGTTTAAACTGGAAGCACGGCCCCATTTCCTGAGGATAAAGCAGCAGGGCCATCTTCTCTTGCAGGAAATGCTATCAGAAAGAACAAGGCCCCGTCTGTTGGAAGCTCACTAGTGTGGATTAGGCCACAGCAGGGCCCTGGAGCAGCATTATCCTGGGGTCCGGAGCGAATAAGAAAACCGAGGGTGGGGGGCGGGGGGTTCCTTGCACCTTCATCGGTCCACTCCCGGTGAGAAGATGGCGGCCCCGGTTTCCCCAAGAGCGGCGAGTCCGTGTGCCGCGGTCTGGCTGGCGCTGCAGCCCACAGGACCGGACGCGAGGCAGGGCTGCAGAAGAAGCCAGCTCGGAAGCAAGGCTGCGGCGCCTCAGGAGAATTGCACTCACCTGTCAAAGCTGCTGCCGTGCCAGGCCGCTTCGCAGTACCCAGGCCCTGGTCGCTTTCCTGCAGCCCAACAGTGCCCGAAGCCCGCAGCACCCCAGGGACTCAGCAGAAAGTGGAGGACATACGGTAGGTAAACCCTGCAACTGACACGACCCCGAGCAACCCGGCAGCCCCGACTCCGCCCCTCACTTCCGGAAGTACCGGAAGTCCCGCCCCTTAGCTTCCACCCTAACCCCGCCCGTGCTCCTCCGCGCGGGTCTGCGCTGCCCACCCCTCTGGGAGAGGCTCGACGACTGCGGAAGGAAGGCCCGCGAGGGGACATCACACAACAAGTCCCTCGGAGCCGCAGGAGATGCGGGCCAGTCATCACTGGAGTGCACTGAGCTCATCCTCCGCCGTCTCGCTGACACACGGGACCGCAGCGCCTCCCCCTAGCCGGCGGCCACCAAGAGAGGACAAGATAATGACCTCAGTGGCGGGGGACTGGTACGGCGCCGCCTGCTGGCACCAGTGAGTGGCATGCACCCGTATTTAAGCAACACTTAATACTTCGCCACATTACAGGAAAATACAGAATTTTCTAAATTTAAAAAATGTGTGTGTCACCGGATAGGCACAATTCACCTGCCCATGTGCATTTCAACAAGAAGCTACAATTAAAAATCCCAAGGATGCGTGCTCTACATTCACTGCCTTACATGAACTTGAAATCCTGCACCATCACCCCCCCCGCCCCCCCCCACACACACACAAATCATGCAAACTAACCATTTTCCTTGGTTTTTTCTTTTTTTTTTTTAATCTGGAAAACAGAAATCGCTCTCTTTGGAGGATATACTCACTGCAGCAGGTGTTCTGTGATGTTCCAAGATCAAGCAGGTTTTAAATCCATCTGTCCTAAAAATTCCCTCAAGCCTAAGAAGTCGGCAAGAAGGGGGGAAAATCCCTTAAGATCCAAGTGTACTGTTCATAACTGTTCATCGGTTTCCAAACCTTTCACATCCAAACGGCTGATAGGTTTATTTGCCATGAATTACTTCAACAACAAGAGTTCTGTAGGAGTGATGCTGTTTGGCTGCATGAAGCCTGATGGAGATAGAACTATTAATATTTCAGCTTATCTGCAGAAGATGACTCATCCGGTTTCCTTTCTGAAATATTTGATCACCATTGGCTAGAAAGAAAAAACAAAATCAGCTGTTTGCTGCAAAAGGTGGGACTTACACTGCTTTTCATTCTCCTCCACCCCCCACCCCCCTCCCCTTGCTCTAGATTGGAGAGTCTACATAATAGAGTGCTTATATAAACAGCCGGCTTTGGAGACAACTAACTGGACTCGGAAAACTCATCTAGGACAAAAGTATATTTCTTTCCAAATCTTGCTTCTTGAAAGAAATAAAGCTTACAGCTCCTAGTCAATAAACATTACTATATTTTATTGTACAAGAAATACACATTTAACATACTCTCTTGAAATGAAAATAATTTTTTAAATGGAGTAAAACTTGAATGTAATTCTGCGTTGGAAGGAACACATTTGCCACTATTTGCAGACATAATTCTGTAAAATGACCTGAGGCAAAGGTAATGGAGTTGTTAGAGTGCATGGGTTTGGATTTATGGCAGGTCCCATCCCATGGGCCTCTCACAGTGTCCCATGCCAAAGCATACTGTAACCCCAAACCATTGCCTGGCTTTACCCCGTGGGTTTCAGACACTGAAGCGGTTTGCAGAGTGGAAAAAAAAAATGGAGTTGTTAGAAAAGTCATTTTCAACTTTGGTGTCTTAGTGTGTAGTAAGGGGGGAGCAGACCCCACTGCTAGCCATGGGTTCAGTAAGCACATTTGTATGGTTGAGATATATAAATATTATATTAAAGTCATCGAGAGCTTGAGCAATAGAAGAGAGAGTCAAGCAATGGAGTCAGACACAATACATGGTAGCATTGCTCACCCCAGCCCGGCTTGGTGGTCCACGTGGAGAGAGGGGGAAGGGAAGGAGGACAAGGGAAAGGGAAACAGAGGACAGGAGAGAAGAGGAGGCAGCGAGGGGGAGGGGAGGAGAGAGGGAGAGAGAGAGAGAAAGAGAGGGAGAGAGATCTCTCTATTGCTAACCCAGGCCTATATACCTTTTGGGGGCATGCAAGCCCACTAATTACAGGTAGATATGCGTCACAGGAAAGGGTTGCACTATAGGTTATACAGCCATGAGAGGGGGTGGTCTACGGACATACACCCAATAGGAAGAGGAGGGATTGGGGTATACATGTGACAAGATGAGCGGATCCTAGATTTAGGATGGCAGCTTAACTTTGGATGTCACAGAGCCTGTTTGACCTGTTCCCAGGCTCAACTGATAGAGACCATTATCAGTAGGGTGTGAACTCCACCTACAGGGCCTGTTCATTGTCCTTGAACAGCAGGGAGCTGGGTCTACCCTGTAGTGTGGCCACTAACTGCCTTCAGGGAGGATGTCTGTAAACTTCTGACCTCCCCCCACATTAGTGGTGCTGTAACAAAAACACCACAAGTGGATGACTTTAATGATTATATGTATTTTCTACCCAAAGGCTAGAAGTCTGGCTTGAAAGAGATTCTAACTATTCATTAAGAGATTCTGCATTCCTTATGGCTATAAGAATGGAGGAAACTAGAAAAGATAGAATTGCATTTACTTTAAAATCCTGTGTCTCCTTATGCAGGAAATATGTCTATTCACATGATCTGAGCATTATCAAGTAAGGGGGGAAAAAAAGATTAAAGGTTCCAAAATCAAGAGTGGTCTCTGTTTTCTATTACTCCTGATTTCACTAAGCAGTCACGCATATTAAGAGAGGGACCTGCTACCAGCAATACTTTCCACTAGGATATCTTGCGAATTTAGTGTGCCCTTAGTTTCCCAGTGGGTTATACATTGGACTGCTAACTGAAAGCTCAGTAATTAAAACCCATCAACCATTCTGAAGGAGAAATGTGAAATGGTCCACTCCCATAAAGACTGACAACTTCAGAAAGCCTATACAGGGTCTCTGAGTTGAAATTTACTCAGTGATAGTGAGTTTGGTTTTATTGATATTTCCCCATGAGAAACCTTAGTGTCACAGTGGGTTAGGCATTCGTTTGCTAACAAGTTCAGCGGTTCAAACCTACCAGCCAATCTGAGGGCGAAAGGTGAGGCTTTCTGTTACCATAAAATTTACAGTATCAGAAACCTTAAGAAACTCTTCTCTGTCCCAAAGGGTCACCTTGACAGCTGTGGATTTGGTCTCTTTGGTATTTTTCCATTGCTAAGTTTTCACTTTTGTGAAGGTACAAAGAAAATCATGAAGATATGGAGACCTCAAAAAACTATGACCTCAAAGAAATTATAACTTAAAAAAAAAGAAATGACAGGTTACTTCAGACAATACTAATAATAGGAAGTAAAAGTAGATCAATTAACCATGTTATTAACTGCAAATGTATACATAATTTAGAACAAAAA